CCCGGCAATAAAATTTCAAGAATGTATGAAACATCTCCAAACGAGAGTAATTCCAATTAGTAAGTCAAATTGAAATAAGTATAGATTTTATCATTTGTGTGTTAACAGGAACCCACAAATGATTTGGAATGTATTTTAGCTTTGTGACACTAGGTCAAACGGTGAGTATATCCCACGCAAGCACGTCTTCAATACAGTGTAATGTTCACCATAGTTAGTACACATGAATGTCCAAACAAAACTATTCCGGGGAATAATATAAAGACTGTTATGCCTTTAGGGTTAACATACGTTTAACGTGTTTTTTTTCAATATTTTTTTTATTTTAAATTATTGATGGTTAGGACAGTATCTATGACTGTGATTTTATTCTATACAAAAACGCCACTTTATAAGGCTTATGTTGACGTTTTGTTTTATTTCAAAACATTTCCACGTGTGATTGTTTACAAACACAGCCAACACAAGCACAAAATTTGCATAAAAGTAATTATAATTGACACTTGATGAAAAATCCGATTTGCATATCAATACTACAAAGTTTATGTACTTACCTTACACATTTCGCCCATCCTTTCGCTTTTACCGCTTTTTAATTGACCGCGTATCCTTAATGTCCGGCCGCGCGGTCTTGTCTTGTCTTAATCGGGTTTTTTTTCGCTCGCTCGCTCATTGAAAACGCCGACCGCTCGCCCAAACACTGATCACTGACACATGAGTGGTCTAAATGGTGGTTTTGATAGTAAAGTGTGAAACTACAACTAGTGTTGTACAAATGTTATTAGATTCTGAACGACACTTTAAATCTAATAGTTGTGTGACACTTGTATCGTGAAAGCAACTGAACTGGGACTTCTTGTTACGTGTTTTGGGTGCTTGTTCTAGATGTAATATTTTTATTTTATTTCAATGAGACAGTTACGTGAAAAAAGCATAGGTAACTCCTTTTGACAGAGCAGAGAAACGAAAAAAATGTTAACGATTAATTTTAAAAATAACGATATCAAAACGAATTGAATAATTTTGAAGCTTGTCACATCACAAAAGAACTATGTGAATCGACGCCGGAGATTGGATGGTACGACGACCCTTCAATTAGCGTCAAATATGCTTTGTTACAACATCATTGATTGGTTGAAAGTCACCTGATCGGAGCACGACCTGGATCACAAAACCATATTTGTCCGTATTATCAACAGGACATTGGGAGGGAACCACACCCACATGTTTAACCTCTTTTAGCGCTGAAGTTGCCAACAAATGTCGAAAAACTCGTGAATTTCACGGATTCGAATAAAATAAAGCTAGCAATTGCTAAGAGTGGTTATTAATATATTCCCCGATGCTCTTCGAATTTTTATTTTCTATTTCAAGGTAGGGAATGGCTCGTTGAAGTTGCATCGACTTTAAGGCGGCTGTTTCACCGCGAACAACTCTAGCTCTGTTGTACTTTTGCGATGTAAAATAAAATATATATAATAATAATTAAAAAACAGGACATAGTCTCCATGAATTACGGCAAACATGGTTGTCGCTTGGCAAACATGGTTCAGTGATTGTAACTTCATATTTTTCAAGATTCCTAGGCATAGTTTGAGATTCATTGACTTTGGGCGTTTTTTGCGTTTATCTTAAAATTAATTTATACATATTTCTACAGATTCAGTACGCAATTTCTAACAAACAAAACGTCAGATCGTCGCCTATTTTGGTCAAATTTACCTCTATATAGAGTACTGAAGGAATGTCTTCGTCTCGATTTTTTGCTTATTTTTATATACAGACATGTTGTTTTTACTTAGGTATTAACGTTCAAACATTTGAAATAGAGCTACATTAAAACAAATTATAGTTGCGAAAAAACAAAGAACATTGTACCTGAAGCACTCCTCTATAATTTTCACATAAATAAATATATTCAGTCGTGCTGCAAATTAATTATTAATTGCGTCATTAACCGCTTTACCCGCCTTATGCTTATTTTTGTGACCACGTGACTTTGTATTAAATTAAAACATGGTATATTTTCAGTTTGAAACACGATCTTTATTATGATATATAGCATGTATGGATAAACTGTATGTTTCTATTTGTGTACTGAGGCCAAACAATTGAACCAGCGAACACATGCTAACCCCTTAATTTACTTTCAATTACTATTAGAAAACGATTAACATGAATATTGACAGTTCATATTTTCGCCATAGCATACGGTTGTGCTATTGTGAATGTACACTTACAGGGATAAAGCATACACAAATAACATATGTCATGTTATGTTATTAATTGTTGTACACTGTTTAATAGATGTTTACATGAAACGGTAAATTTAACCAGGTTAAATTAAGGTCAACGTTCAGACTTCTCACTGTTAGCATATAGTGG